TATAGACTCAGCAACTGAGTGCATCGTTCAATGACACACACACACCACACACACCCACACACACACACACACACACACACAACACACACACACACACACACACACACACACACACACACACACACACACACACACACACACACACACCACACACACACACACCACACACACCACACACACACACACACACACCACACACACACACACACACAACGCACACACACCACACACACACACACACACACATACACACACACACACACGCACACACACACGTACACGCACGCACGCACGCAAGCACGTACACACGTATGCATGCACGCACGCATGTACGCACACACGGACGCACGAACACGTTGACTGCCCTTGCACAACTTCTTGCGATGTGCAGCCCCTCACAGCTAAATATATGCACTCAAGATCCGACAATTAGCGAACACTTATGGCATACAAATGTGCTACAATCAGAGACCATTAGATGATGCTTCAAATTTTGCATGCGAACACCATGCACATCAAACGCACGATACGAATTGGTTTTGCATTGTGGCCCTTGTGCCAAGAGTTAAGTTTTGCCAAATAATCTTGGGATGGGCAGAACAAATGTTGAAACCTACCACCAAAATACTCTCACAGGCGGGTTTCTCTCCGAATTTCGCTCACTTTCTTCTCATAGTTGGAGGCCGGATGTGGGCGGGGGGCACTGAAGCCAAACTGAACAGGAGCTTATAAACACTCTATCTTGTGCTATGCATTTACGTTGTTTGAAATCGTGCCTATCAAGCCGATGTTACATAAAGGGGGATATGTCAAACGTTATATGCTACTTCCATGTTCCATCTGCCTCAAGCTTCTTCTGAAATACATGCTGTATCTCCTATCTGGTTGGTACAGCACTTGAAAATAAAAATGCCTTTTGCTACTTGGTTTTTCACAACGGGAACTAACAAGCCAACACTAACGGACACTTAACATACCGGTCGGCCCTGGCTAAAATACCATTTATTTAAGTGTTTTCTGCATTATGGTAATATCAGCACAGTGTCTCCTCCAACATTTCATTAAAGGTAGTGTTCCACATTTTTATAGGATTCTTAACTGAAATGGACATCTTCAAGACAGTTCGGTGCAATTAAGATTTAAAACTCCTTTAGCTTATGAGATACACGCCCGGGATGATGTGCAGACCATTTTGGGGACACTATTTCAAGGCCACCCAGGTATCTACGTCGCCGTAATAGCGTAATTCAAGCCCCGTTTTTCCATTATTGGCCAAGCGGCAATCAAGGTCAACAAAATATAATTGTCAAGTCGGTCAAGTTTGGCGTTCATGAGCATGATTCCAGATATAGCGGTTGCCAATCATCTTTCAACCAATTTTTATGCAAGGCACGATAATGCAATCAAACGATGGACGCATTGAGGAGCATATTTATTAACAGAGGAGCTGTGTTGTCTGGAGCAATCTTTTCCACTTTTAAGCGGAAAAGACCGTTGTAAGCTTTACAAGAAAAGTCATTAGTGAGCTCATTTCATCATATTTAATGGTCGCTTTAATATCTTGAAATAGGGAACATTCCTTTTAACGTGAAAAGTGCAAAATTCCGAACTATTAAAACTCTCAATTGCAGGTTGTAATATTGTTCAGAGATCCGATGGTCGGCTACCACACCGATACTAGACTAACGAATAAAGAAAAGAAGAAAACGGATAATCGAATCAGAGAGAGTAATGGTTCCACGTGCAGGCGGTGAGCCTCGTGCTGAGGAGCGTCCTAATTACTTCAGCATTGCTAACTGAGCAACATTTCCCCGGCACCGACCGGTAAAATACGTACGATACTCTGTGCACCTTAAATGTATTTGTATCTGTCTTTGTCTTCACACCCACACTTGCAGTCGAGCAAAAAGTGCTTGAATACCGGGCAGGCCCGCGAGTCGGGACGCTGGTTCTACTGTTACGTAACATCTCAGTATGTTATATGTCACACACACACACACATATATATATATATATATATATATATATATATATATATATATATATATATATATATATATATATATGTGTGTGTGTGTGTGTGTGTGTGTGTGTGTGTGTGTGTGTGTGTGTGTGTGTGTGTCAGTATGTCGCATGTTAAGTCTTGGTCTAAGTAGGTATGACAAATGCGGAAGGGTAAATGCAGTACAATCAGGAACCTCTCCAATCGGCCAAGTGGTCACCAAGGCGACTTAGGGACGCAAACGGACTCAAACTAACGAAAGGGGCTTGACCGCCCCCAAGATTGATAGACGCACCTGCTGAATGCTATCGGTATAAAGGTGCCCCATGTCCACCATGCTGAACTGTAGGGTCACATCAGGTCCGTGAGATACAAAGTTGCAGCCCTCCGGCACCCACCTGAAGTTGGCGATCTGGTTCTCGAGCAACATGTCCAGCTGCTCCTTGATCTCCTGGAATTTTTCCTTTTCGTCGTGCAGTACGCTGCCCACACCGTCCGGTCTGCAACACGGTGCGGCGGAGAGCCGTCAGCCTGACAGCAGGGACAGGCGGGCAGCCGGGCAGCAGGGGCAGGTGTCGGCAGCGGGGCAGGCCGCGGCCGCCGTCCACCCGCACCCAAACACCTCCCCTTGCGCCACTCCAGGGACCCGCCACACCGCCATGGCAATACACCAGCAGTAATGCGTTTCCCCAAAAGCTGAAATTTGCAGTGACTTCCACAAGTATTGCACCACCTTGTACAGATCTGACGTTTGTATCACGGAGGCATGATATCTCTGGATTTCCGGGGTCGTTCCGTCATGTTGGGCCGAGTGCAGTTCATTGCCCGCACAAGCAGAGTTTGGAGAGATTCACTTCGCACTCAATTATGTGGCTTCAAGCTGTCGAAAGCTCTCACGCAAGCACATTTAATCCCTGTCAAACGGATGTGAATTGTGAAAGAATGGCATCTCCACCGGAGACGAAGTGAACGGGGCGCGACAATTTTCATTCAATCCCAGCCGATCTCCGGACTACGCGCCGCGGGAGCAAACACATCCCACACCTCCTCCCCCTCCCGGGCCGGAGGCGCAGTGTATCTCGCCGACGACTGCGAGGTGAAAGCAATTGGGAGGCGCCGCTACCGCCAGGAGAGCCCGTGTCTCCTCTGATGTGATCGACTGCACCGAACAGAGGTCAACAGGAGACGGTGGCAGGCGGCGGCGCTGCGCGCGCGCCGTCGGCGCATCGGGACCGAGTGAAATGAAGGCTGAACGGTCCCTGCCGCCAGGCCGCGTGGGGAGTAGGGGACAGCCTGGGAGACCGCGGAGGGGCACGTGGAGAGCCGAGCCGGCACCGTCCACTCGAAACCACGCCAGCGTGCGTGGTGCTCCGCTGTGGTGCTGCAGGCTGCACCGATCTCCCTCCGCACCAGGAGTCAGGCTGGAATCCACAAACCACAGTTTCGTTCTGGTGGGTGGGGAGGGGAGGGGGGAGGCGGGTGGGACCGGAGGTTAAACTCGGGCCCCGGACGGCGTGGTCAGACGCGGGCGGACCCCGGTCCGTGACCGGAGCCGCGGATGGCCTTCACCGACCATCAGCGGCTCCCCGGGTTATTGGCGATTCGCCTGATAGGAGCGGCGGGCTGCGGCGAAAGACGGCTTTTCGCCATTCTGTCGGCGCCACTTAGACCGGCAATCAGCGAAGCGAAGTAATTGGAAACCCTCGGCTATTTGAAACAGAAACCTCCCTTGGTATCACTACTTCTGAGTGTAAAAACATCACCAAAAGTAGCAACGTTAACGACCTTCGTTCATCGCGCCCGAAGCAGCAGCATTTTGTTTCGTAGAGATCTTGAAGTTTAGATACCGTCTTTCAAGCAACGTTTCTTGATGGATTCCGTTGCCTAGGACAAAACTGACCTTCTCCGTCCCCTATCACCTCTCATTCACTCACGAAGTGGGCCGTTCATTCCTCTCCCTGGCAAATTTCGAATGCATCAAGATAAACCTATTGCCCGGTAACGACCAGCTTTAACCGCAATTAATCAAGTCTTCGCGGACGCAAACCGGTGAGAGTCAATGTGCTGACCACATGGTGCTCCGCCGACTCTGTCCTTCTCTCTGCCGCCGGTCTTACCAGGCAGAACGGCACGAGAGGCCAACAACTGCTCGTGACTCCCAACATGGCCCGGCTCGATCCACTCTCCTCCGCCACCGCGCCAGGCTCAGACATGACATGCCCCGGGTCACGTGCCACGCCCCAGCTGACCCCTCACAGATGTATGCACACCTCGAGACCCGTCTGGAGGCTGGTATCGGGTGTGTCTTCGGTGGTTACGCGACATTGTGGCGCACACGTGGTGGAGTGACTCCGCTACAGGTGAGAGTTGGAAGGCACCGAGCTTCTTAGAATGTGTATTTTCATGTTGCTTCTCTCCCTTCGGAAGAGATATGATACCTGAAGTCGAATGACGTCCCTAACGCGGTTGGTTGCACCGATCCGTACGGCTGAAGGCAAGCAATGGCTGCTACTAGAGCACTTCACGGGTTGGATCAATCCACGGACTGTGGATCAAACTGCAGGCTAGATTGAGCCGGATCAGAAATTTCCACCAAAACATGGAAAAGGACCGGAACGCATTTTCAAATTTGTCGGCTCACATAGATTGGGACTGAAATACAATCAGATGGAAATTGTCACCTAATAGTTTACAAAATGCTGAATGAAAACAACGACTCAGAAAAAGGACCTTTAAACCAACAAAAATACAGGATTGTCGGTTTCAAGTGATGCATTTGCGGGCTACATAGTACATCACTCAGCCATATATTCCACAACAGATTTTCTGATGAACAGATCGCATTGACAAATTGTGAATGAGTGATCCTTATGTGGGTATGGTCACTTATTCATAGAAATATGTGCACAACTCTAGTTATGGAAAGTTAGTGCGATCATCCCCTCCAATGTTACTAAAAAGTATAATGATCTAATAGCATATCGCATAGCACAGCTACGATTCATTCTGCTTTATCAGCAGTGTCATTTAACCCCGGTGGATAACATTGCATCTTAGAGTTGTAAAAACTGGACAGGAGCATGTTTTGTTGGTAGAAAGCGCATTTATATAAGTTGTTCAGTGCATTAGCGAGGAACATTATTCACATGGATAAGACAGTAGTATTAGCATTATTCCTAAAAAAAGCAGGAGAATGGAGGCATAGTTAGGTTAACCTTTCGGCAACATGCCTTTATCAAAACAACACCAGAAGTCTTCTATTGTTTCGATAAATACATCTTGCCGAAATATCGACCTAACTATATCTCCATTCTCCTGTTTTTCTGAGGAATAAGGCTAATACTACTGTCTTATCTAAGTAAAAAGCATGCCATTAAGCTTTTAGATACAAGCGCCTGTCAGAGGAAATTTCAACAATGGGAAAAGGAAATTAAGTAGCATTTGAGATTTCGGCGATGGGGTTCAAAAACGGTGCAATTGTTTCATTCTCCTGAATGAAAGTACCTCAGGCACCCCCCAGTGGAGAGTCGCGTGCGTTGATTTTAACTTGAACGCGCCCGGTAATCTACCAGGAAATTATAGCAGCAGTTTAGGTTGTTTCATCAGCTGGTGTGTTCGAGGCCGGACACACACAAAAATTCTCGTACGTGAGGTGAGGCGGCCTTTTAGTTTTTTTCAGAGGGTGCACTGGATGAGGGCCGCACTATGCTTGTGAACTGTGTGCCGTTGAAACTGTCCAGTGGCAAGTGCAGGTATGTTGCACCTGGCCTTGAGTCTGAAAAGGCTAGAAAATATGCTCATACATTTAGGTTATTGAAACCAGAAGCGATTTTAGCTCCTGCGATATGGCGGTGCGTGTGAATTATGGGCAAGTAATTTTTATATGAAAAGTAATGTGACCAGCTTTTTCTATTTGGATCTTTATCCAAAATTGCGCCACCAATAAACGCCGTGCTGTTTTAATTATCTTAACATCGACTGGTTCACGACGGCTCATCGCACTCTATTTTTCAATGTATGAACAAAATCTGCTGTTCAAACTTTTAAACGCACGTAACGTGGGGGCGGATTGACGGATTCATTTGACCATTTTTTCTCCCTGTAAGTCGGACCAGACCAGATTGCGCTGAGCAGTATGGGAAAAGTGGATTGGCGGCGGATTGGATCTGGACTAGCCAGACTGGACTGGACCGGATCCTGAACATTACATTCGTGAATTGCTCTACGCTCCTGTAGTCGTTATGCATACTTTTAGTTTTCACCAGTGCACGAGATACGTGACAACTATGATAGATGGTGACTCAACATAAAAATAAGGCTGTATTCGTCCGCAAGCTGCCCATCGGCCCTTATTTTCTCATTCGTGCCTAGTCCTGCATCGTCGCAGTGCCCCGCTTATCCGGGTCAGACTGCATATATCTGCCACAGGCGGATTGAAATGACCTCTGTCGGGCGGCCACGAGCGAACTGAAGTGACCCCTGCCGGACAGCCACGGGCGGACTGAACAGGTGACACCATACCGAGAACGCCGCCCGACCGCCCTCACAAGACCCGAAGACGGATTGCTGTGCGACCAGTATTGGAAGCGCAGGACTCCCAGATACACGTTGTCTGGTCCCACCATTTCCAATCTGTTTCATCCGATATCTCTGAAATGGTCACTGCTGGCCGAAAGAGCTCTCACCACTAAACAGAGCTGCATATTTCTGGCACTGAGCACACTCCCAGCCGAACAAGACGAGGCGGCCCCGGCGGATCATACGGCATGCTATCTTCAGCCACATCCGTCAAAAGTGCAGGTGAATCGGCCTCGCAGCAAGCTGTATGTACATCGTAAGGCCGTTACCAACACTGGGTGGCCTTCAACACCACTCAGCAATGCATGATGCTGAGCGCCTCAAGCGAACACACGTACACACACACGTACACACACACACATACACGCAGTGGTGGCGCAGTTAACTAGGACATCCTCAAACCCATGCCACATCATATCTACAACACGGACGGCCAGTTAGATGGATCGCTGGTCTACGTCTGAGGCGCGCGGAGCGTCCTTCAGGCGTGCCGACGCCGCCGGCGACAGCTGACGCGCCGCTCAAGGCGGGACTGGTACGACCCGAGCACGCATGCGGCCTCGGTACGACCCGAGCGCCGATCCGAGGGCGCATGCGGCCTCGGTACGACGCGAGAGCGCATGCGGCCTCGGTACGACCCGAGCGCGCATGCGGCCTCGGTGCGACGCGAGAGCGCGTGCGGCCTCGGTACGACCCGAGAGCGCGTGCGGCCTCGGTAAGACGCGAGGGCGCATGCGGTCTCGGCGGACGGCGGCGCGTCCTCTCAAAACCCCACAAAAAAACACAGTCACATCGTGAAAAAGGGCGACAGCGCGGCGCCTCTTCCTATCCACAGTGGCGCGTGGTCATATACAGGGGCTCGGCGGCGACGTCGCCAGGCACCATCCAGGGACAGCCTTCGCATGCAGAAGAGTCTATACTGGCTGGGGAACGGGGCGTCCTGATGAGGACGCGGCAGTCGCGCCAAGCCTATGAAGAGACTACGTAAGCTGTGGGATGTTGCCACAGGGTGGACACCCAGTCGATACATCGACGTGGAGAAAGCGCTGCAGGTCGGGATATTGTGAGTGTTCCGTGTTCTAGAAATGGGGAGACAGAGTCCGAACTCAAGACGCCGTGAAATACGCAAGAGATGATACTAACCCGATGTTGATGCTGCCATCCTCTTGAACGCTATGGTAAAATGTAAGTGTGATGTTAGTGTGGGGCCAGTACAGGCGCATGTAATGTTTCACTGTAGATACAAAATCAATGTACAAACTGAGTTATAAAAAGCATGCACTGTTTGAAAGAAGAACGATGTTTATGGTGAACTATGTGAACCAAGCCGTCATGACCAGCAACTAAAAACAGGTGAAACGGGCACATCACTAAGAACTAAATCCAGGCAGGGATGCACATTTTAACCAACGCAGGAAAACTATGTTTTATATTGTACGGCAGATGTAGCAAAACCTTGCGACGAGGTCACTCCCAGCACCACTTTATTTGGGGGAGGACGCAACTTCCTTCGTGATTTTTTTTTTTAAATCGCGCCGTGTAAGTAAACACATATGCGTACAGGTTTCTTTGTCTTCTTTAACCAAAAGATCATTTGTGTGGGCCTTTCACAGCAAGAGCACTGCTCCGTTATCGTCTGCCATGGCGCGACAGGGCTTGTGGCCACTTAATTTAGCTGTCATAGTACTTACATGTCAGCCCTTGCTGTCCGAAAACACAAATCGTTTGCCAGCCAGGAGCTTCTGTCAGAGTGTCACGTTTCACGCAGCGCAAAACACCGAGCCTTATTATGTGTAACAACTTTCTTATCCGTATCTATGGAATAATATCCAAACACTTATGAAAAATATGAAAAAGCAAGCTTTTCGCACGATGCAGAAAACATCACCCTAAATATCCCAGTGGTAAACGATTCAGTTCCTTAAAAGCAAGGGTATATGAACTTGTCATGCAAAAAACATGATAACCAGCTCACTTTTCCCTTTTGATTTTAGCATGGGAATGTGAAGATCGCGAAATTCATTGGTGAACGCATAATGATCTTAAACCATTTATTTTAATAAATATGTTGCGGGTGGTTTGCCAAGTGCGACATAAAGGCAGCATGGGCTAGTAAGCCATTCCTGATGGTCCGTCGCTTCACTCCATGCACTTCGCGAGTTTTCTGCACACCTTTTTTCTTGCAGCAGGTATAATAACGTCTTTTAATGTTATCACTCCAAGTAACTGAAGATGCGTACAGTTTTCAGGAATCTATTCCGACGCAGTTGTGTTCTCACCACGCCAACCGACGCCCACAAAGGTCCGTTAGGTGCAGGGCAAGACGACCGAGTTCTACCCCCCCCCCCTACCCCTCCCCGCCCGCCGCCGAGTACGCCGCATGGGATCACGGTCCGAGCCCACCGCCGGCGTCGGGCGAAGCACGCACGTGCTGGCCGGTGGCGGCGGCGGTGCTCGAATCGAGTCAGCGGCCCGGCTTGACCACGTGCTGACCGGCCGTGGCCGGGTCCGACTCCGCCGGCGCGGGCCGAGCCTGCGTCACCTGACCGCGTGCTGACCGGCCGTGGCCGGGTCTGACCCCGCCGGGCGCGGGCCGAGCCTGCGTCACCTGACCGCGTGCTGACCGGCCGTGGCCGGGTCTGACCCCGCCGGGCACCGGCGAGCCTGCGTCACCTGACCGCGTGCTGACCGGCCGTGGCCGGGTCCGACCCCGCCGGGCGCGGGCCAAGCCTGCGTCAGCTGACCGCGTGCTGACCGGCCGGCAGCGGCGCCGACGGCCCGGCGCTCGATACCGGCCGGCCCGGAGCCGAGCGGAACACGGCCACGGCCGGCCACGCCGTACGCCGTGGCGTGCCGAGGCCGTGTGAGGCCGCCGCTGAGGGCAGCGCTCGACATGCCGTTTGTGACTTGTCATAGGCGGGGATCTGTGGCCTGTCAGTCAGCTGGTGTCTAAATGGTGCGCAGTTCTCGTCGCAAGGCATGCGAGTGTTTCAAGCTGGGAACGAGACGCACGGCCTGGGCGCAAACGCACGGCTCGCAATTTGACGCCCGCGAGGCAGCGCCGAAACTGAAGATTTATTTCAGCACGAGGACCTGGATGATATGGCCATACAGGGATGGTCTTTATGCTGGCGGCGCTGTGTTAGATTGCCCCCAAAGAGCCCACTGTCTTTTATGGTGCACCCTACATTATGCAGGCGCCATAGTAAAACAAGACAAGCTGTTTAGGATGTAGGCCAATCCACGGCAAATCATCCGCAGGGTGACACGACACCCCTCTTCCAATTTGACGAATACACAGCTATGGATAAATTACGCATCCAAATTACGATTCTGCAAGTTTTAGACCCATCTGCTCCTAGTTACCACTAAGGAACTGGGAGCAGATGAGCACACGTGATGACGCCAAAAAGCTCTTTTTTATCTCGCCCTAGCGAAAACAGTTTGTGCTGTATAATGTTTTGGGGAAAATGCATCAGAAGGCTACATTTTTTCTGAAGCATGGTTGGATATCACTTTTAAGTCAACTAGGTACATAAAGTGGCCTAGTTTTACCTTTGACCTCATTTTCTGTAAAACATGGGGACTCCAATCTTATGTCTAGTGATATCCAATTTAAAACCAATTTATGGCCGTTAAGGCTAAAAACGATGCGATTCGTTCTGGATGAGTCGGAAATTGTATGTGAAGATTGGCGGATCCCACACCATAAGCCGACCGGAGAGTATCCGGTGACCGGGCGATCTTGAAGCCATCCATTTTAATCTTAAACCCAGTTTCTTTGACAGTCTTCAGGAGCACCGTAACAATGCCTGAACAAAAAGGGCGTGCCTGTCAATCGACCTTACGTACCTGTCGTCCCTTACGAGTCGCGTAATGACAGCGTCGTTCAGGGTCATCACAGCACATCTTTTTTTCCTCTTTTCTAATTTGGTCCGAATCCTTTGAATGGATGGATTTCTGGGATCAGCGCTCACGCTGAGCAGTGCTTGTTGTGTGAGCCCTGACCCCCACCACCCGATAGCGCAGTTCCAGGCAGCGGCAGAATTTAGTGGCGAAAGCTTAACGTGCCGCAATGCTCGGCACGGTCCGTCCTGTCCTCTGACGTCAACTGACCTTTAGCGCGACCGCTGCCACCGGCCGCAGGCCATACCTGCCAAAGGCAAATAGCGAGCGCCCTAAAGCGACTCGAACCCATCCCGCCACGGATGGGCGAGTCGGAATGCAGGCGCTCTAACCAACTGAACCACCGGGACGGACATAATAACCAGCACATCAATAACCATCATATAGCGTTGAACTAAACTTCATCATAAGATAAGCGAATGACTGGTCTAAAGATGCATTATTTGTTCCTAGCCTAGCTTGGAGCCGCGGCAGAGATCCGTGACATAACTGTCTGCGTGCCGCTGTAACTGATGAACCGATGGACTTATAATATATGGCTGCACACCATGCCTTTGAAAAATGGGTTGGTTCTCTAACTACATGACTCGAGATGAATATCAGATAAGCACGGTCGATGAAAAGGCACTCTACATTTTTTTAAATTGTTTCATGGCCCCGGTTGATTTCGAGGTCAAGGTCACAGTTCCGGACGCAGGGAGCCGATCGCGCCTGGTCACCCGACACTGGCCGGTCGGGTGTAGCGCCGTGCATGATCCGCCAATGCTCAAATTCGATTTCCGGCAGGTCTAGAAGAGATCCCATCGATTTATCTTGTTTGGCCCGAACGGAAATAAAATGGTCCTCAATTGCATATCAGTTTGCAGAAAATGGAGGATGCCACGTTTTCCAGAAGGGTACCATGTGACGACACCATGTTTTCACCTCTGGTACAGGTGACCTCGTCCTAAAATACAGTTAGAAAACGTGCCGCACATCTTTGCCCTTATTCCAGGTTATTGCCGTTCGGGCATACACCACATACTTTGCAAACTTCAAGAATCTATTGAGGCTTTCTGTGGTTTCCATGAGATGCATATGGACGAGTCTGTGCTGTACTGCCAGGCAGCGGACGGCTATTGTCGAAGTCAAATTACTCGCCCAAACCAGCTTGCCGTATTTGTTTCTGGAATGTTAATTCCAACAAATTCTGGGATGGCAGCTTTTAAGTTAACAAAACAAACGAAGCAAAATCATGATTTTACGGGCGGTATGCTGACCAATACGCAGCCATACCATACAGTCCTGAAGCATGTGGGGTTTACCGTGGGACTGCATTTTTGCATATGATGACCTTTATGGTTCTTACCCGACCTAAACATAACATGAATGCGATGATTTAAGCAGCAGCTTGAAGAAATTACTTAAACGACACGGACGTTAAGCTGCTAAATTATTTCCCCGCAGCCGCATAAGCAAACGACTGAAAACCACCCGCTTTTAATCAAGCACAACAAATCAGAAGCTGATGGCCATTCAACGACACCCGTTATGAGGGCAGGCGCTTCGCTGCGCGGCAACATAGCAATCAATGTCCATGTTCTGGAGGCAGATCGCCAGGAGGGTACACGTAAGAAAACGGACGCGCCTGTACGGGGCTAACCGTGGGACACGTCAGAAACACGAAAAGCCAGTCAGAGAGAACATCACGGTCGCTGTGTGGGCGGCACCGGCCGCCGACTGCCCACCTGTTGCCGTGCACGTGGCTGGCGCAGAAGGAGAAGCTGCAGTGGATGAGCATGGGGTCGATCATGCTACCCTTCTCGCTGTGCGCTAGCAGGTCGCGCAGGTAGGCCAGGTGGCGGAAGCAGGTGCGCACGCCGTAGCGGGCGCAGTACTCATCCATGACGAACACCTGGCCGGGGCTGAGCCAGCCCTGCCGACGCCACACATGTGCTCAGTCGGCGCCGCTCGCTGAGGCGGCGGCCGCTCGCCCGCCGTCTCCGACTGAGGGCACTCAGCGGGATCAGCGATGCAGCGATGAACCCCACTTACTCGCGCAACAGAGCTGACGCGGGCAGCCAGTGGTAATCCAACCGAATTATTAATACAACACATCAAATTGACATATTTAGAAAAAATTCATGCTGGTACAGCTGTTTGTTTCTGCATGCAGTAGTTCGCGAATTCCTTGCTTTTTTGTCTTGATGTCAGCCATCCCGTGTCTTGACTGCATACCGGTCATGATCAGTAGTGCCATGCGAGGCCGCGTCAGGTCACCCAAAGAAGCTGTGAGGTCAGCGTCAAGCATGGTACCGAAATCCGTTTACGACGCCCACTTGTGATACACAGGTCGGTGCAACAGACACGTTTCCAAGCCTGCGTATTTCTAGGTCACGCAACCTGGGACGGTAGGTACATCACATCCAATGAAATGGTTTGACTTCGGCCGAGTTCAGTCTTGTCAGCCAGCAATCAAACCTTGACCTTGTGACAAGGTTCTAAATCGCTAAATCCGGCCCTTTTCTTCGGTGCTGGTTATTCAGCTATGCAGTCATTTCGGCAGGAACTAGAGGGCCCTGAGTTTCCCTGCTACCGCGATTTTCTCCAGGGCAAAAAATGCGTGCTTGTGCCCCGTTTTGGGAGCACAGTCAATAAGACGCTTTGAACGGCCTGCTACATTATCAGTCGTGCGGCAGACGTTGACTGACGATGCCTCGGTGAGACTGATCAGGCCTGTGACTTACCCTTTGAAGCGTTCCGATCCGGAAATTGATCCCAAGATTAAAGGAAGAGCGATTCCTTTGATTCATAGGCGGTCGCGGTTGGTGACAGACTAAGACGATGGCGTGTTAAGAAACTGTCACCAGTGAATGTCATGTAGCTATTCGCTTTTGGGGAATTTTGAACACTAATCGAGCTTTACAAATACTATGTTGCTTTCCAGGAGTAAGAACAAAATTTGAACCAACCTGCACTAAAATGCAGCTGTATTTGAGACGTTATCATTATGGGTTGGTTTTCATACAACTACAAAGTGAACGGCAAAATACAATAACACATGAATTTGGGAAAGTGATAAATTTTCACTTCAACGCATGTAATTAAACAGGGTACCAGCAGAGTTATCAACTGCACGTTTCGGTATGATGTTGCATTTATGAGGCTCTGCAGATGATTGCATAACCGCAAATTTGGATACTTCGCCTTTCTTGAATTTCAGCTTAGGGATTCATGTCGTTAGCAAGGATGTGCGACACAGGCTGGAGGGGTGCTGCCTTTGCTAGGACCGGTGCATCTCGCCACGCGCACTGCTCCCTATGGGACACCCGATACCGTCAGCTAGACACGCACCCAAGCTGGCCGGGGATTAAATGTCATCGCGTAATGCATGATTTCATCACGTTACGCGTGGCCAGGCAGCCGCCGCATGACCTCCAGCATTGTTTTAAGAACATCACCAGCCCTGAGCCGTCACATGACATCGGCATACGCGAAAGAAATGCGTGGATGGTTAGTGCATGGGGTGTAAACCCTGCGGACAAGCCCCGTACAACGTGTACAAAAACTAGTAGCATATGGTACGCATGGCACATGGTGGTGCGTTTCTATCCAATTTGTTGAGGAGGTAACCTACGTATTCGTATTTCGAATACCGCAATGGTAAATGCCGCAAGGGCTAGAGTCCTTTCAGAGCTACGTCGAGGCAACAATAACGTGATCAGGTTCGGTTTGGACATACTTGATAAATGTGCAGTATTAATTTGAAAGTCGTAACTGTATGAATCTGTGTGAATAAAAACCCCATGAATAATACAAATTAATCAAATTTGCCAACCTCTAAATGCTATCAAGTGATGATCATCGACTGTCCTTTACACACGCACATCCAGGGACAGCTTGTTCTCGCACGCAGCACCCATCACCAGCGCGATGGTACTGACAGCGATGGCCGCCACGTCGGTGATACATCGGTGGTTGCCTGTGTCACCACACTTATCAGCTGGCACCCTTTGTCGCCGCTACATACGGACAACACATCGCTGCTAAGCGACACCACTGACGAATGAGCTACTTCCCTTTGTCATTGGCAAGCCTACATTCACCAACCCATGTGTGTCCTTCGTTGAACAAGGTCATGGATTTTTCCACAGCGAGCCGACGGCATAGCTGCTTGCGAACATTTCCAATCGAACGGAAAATGACCAATGTCTGTATTCTACCTGCTTACACAGGAGTCATTGATACTGAGCCTACATTTCCCTAGGCTGATTAAGGCCGAGAAAGCACACCGAAAAAGATGTCGAAGTACATGTCTACCGCCGGCACATCGCGGTCACAGCACGCAACAAACGTCGCGCTTGGTTCTGCATTCCAGGCTTGGCGCTATTTGCCGACCATCAGCAAACAAAGAACATCCACCACGCTAGATTATTCCGACAAACCAGGTGTCCACGATGCGAGGGCTCGCCATACTTTGCTTCGTCGCCCGCACGGCAAACAATTGCGATATAACGTGCAGCCAAACACTGCAACGCATTGTCGCGCTCTTCGAAAGCAACGGCTTCAAAACAGCAGCCGACGTACCGAATAAGTCTAGGAGCTTTTAGTGATGATTATATGGCTGGTTGCGGCTGTTGCGAAATAATACGGCTGGGCGTGTAAGCAGAGCGCGTGTTAACAAGGATATGAGGACTCTTTTCCTACTTGGTGGTGCAACTGCTAAGCATCCCGCATCGCGCCGCTGACTTCCATGGCCTGTGCCACACGCGGCTGACGACACCCATGGACCGCGTTACACGGAACTGATGAGCCTCAGGTGTGGGGTGGCATGACTCAAACGGCGAGGCAGCCTGGTCGCGGACATTCCGGTGCCACAAGGGTGAGGCTCACGCTCAGGGAAGTGGCTGTCCATGTCAAGAGCTTCTGATATCCAGATTTCCGGACTCAGAAGCGCACCGCCATAGCGACTGATCAGGATGTGCAACTGACAGCCAGCAGCCCCCATCACAAATCCTTGTGTATTCAAGACGTTTGACCGGCATTGCAACAAAATAATCTACTCACGTGATGTTGTCTCTCCACATTCGTGCCACCCGACTGGCACTCTAGCATTCCGACCAAATGCCTCTCAATTAATGCATGCTTGGAACCTTAACAGGCATTCCACTAAGTCAGCCATGCTACACTCCCGTCCCCTGGTACCATCGCGCGTACCCTCCTGACTTAAACGCCAGTCTGGTGGACCATCACCGCACCAGCCCCGGTCCTGGTCAGCCCCGCCCCACCCAGGGTCAGCCCCCGCACAGGGCCACATCCGTCCCGCCCAGCGTCATCCCCGACCCCGTCCCGGATCAGCCCCGACCCCGCCCTGGTCTCACCAACGAGGCGATCGGCTCATTGAGGCGGTGCTCCAAAGTCAGGGCCTGCAGGAACTGGAACAGTGAAGCGTGGTCGAACTTGCACGGGTCGGCCGATATGAACTCGTCCATGCCGTGCTTTCGGGCACGGTCGGCGTCTGCGGGGGAGACGGTCGGTCGGCGCGAGGCAAGCGACCAGAGACAAGAGAGACAAACCAACAGTGAAGAGAACAAGGGTCGGTGGGAAACAGCCGGCCGGTACAAAGACGACAGGAAGTGGGGAGACAACCCGCCATCGGGGAGACATGAAACGGTCAATGGAAAGACAAACTGTGAATGAATGAGAATCAGCTGCGTGGCGACAATGGGCGCCAATGAAGCTTTTGTTGGTGCACTCGGCGAGCTATTGAAACGTAACAGCCTTGACTGGAAAGACAAACGGTAAGCAACACCAAATGTTGACTGCCGAAAAGCGGGTGGTAGGCGGCTGTGCAATCTATGAAACGTAATCGTTTACTCTCAATCGCCTGCTATTTTGTGATTGCGTTCAGGTGAGACGCTCGCATATCCTTCCCCACATTGGCTTGGATGCATCATGCTGGACCTGGCACTCGATTACCATCTTATTCAAGTGGCAAACTATACTCTTACTACTCTGTGCAGGGGCGTGGGCGTGGCCATATTCTGCTCCCTTCATGCTTTTTGGCCACCATTTTCAAACGATTCGCTGCAGGCTCCTGAAGCTCGGTTACTTTTACCCAAAAAATTGTTTCGCATGTCTCGGCAAAATTTTGAAGGCAAACATTGCCCAAGGGTGACTCCAGAGCTTTACGCCGAAAGTGATGTCCGCTGAAATTTTCCCTTTCCCCGTCCATTTCCATGTCAGCATAGCTGTGGTTATCATTTGTCTGCTCATAGATTATCCCTGGTGGAAATATAACAGAAATGTGAACAAAACGGGTAGTATGATGCTTCAGCCGTACAATTTTGACGCAGGTGGTTTCAGGACAGCAAAAACAGAGGTTTGCACACGATATGAGGCGATACTGAGGGAGGTAAAGCAAGCAGCGTGGAGGGAGGAAGAACATTACTGAAGTTACAATTACAATTTGCATATTAAAATTACATTCCTGAAGGACATTTTTGGCTGGGTGGCAGAGCACAAAAAGGTATGAAAACTACGAATGCCAAGATGAGAGTGTAGGAAGGTAATTTTCGAGACATGAGAACGGGGCGAGATCTGTCCCCTCCCCTAACGTTACCCAACCACTCGACATTGCAAATGCAGTAACACTAAAACATACACCCATCTGTTCCCATCCTATCATCTTGGCACCCGGAGCTCTCACACCTGTATCTCTTGCCACTCATTTCCAGAAAAACTATATTGGTAGCATTCACGTATCGATGGGCGCAAGAATACTTCGCACGTTTCAGGGACATATGAGCTTGCACATAAACCAGAAATGTCTCCGGACACAGAAATGCACAAACAGCCGCAAGACAGGTGATCGATGCCGAGGGAGGGTAAATGAAAGCGGCCGGTGTATGGGTCAGCAGCGTACAATTGTGTGACACAATTACTAGTTTGGCTCCCTGATTTGACCATAGGCATGAGGTTGCTTTTTCGGTATTCACTAAGGCTAAATTTCACTGCACGTGCGCGGAATTGCTGCAGTAGTCTGGTTTTTTGATCGCTATATTTCAAATCACGCCTTAGGTTATTTCCCCTATATCCCCATCGCTAATTTCACTACACTTAAAATCCACGCAATAGCTGACAGCGGTTCCAGACATGTTCAGAAAAAGCAGTCTGCTTTCTATATTATGGCCAGGAGGACGACGGCCGAGGAAAGCAGTCCGTCGAGCATCCGCATGGGTTGGGGTGCCACCAAGCCTTTCGAGGAGCTACGTAAGAGCCATGCTTAGCGGAGAGCGGCGTCCCCGATGGGTCGTCGGGATATCGTTAGAGGGGTCGTTAAAGGTCAGCGCGTCCAAACTGTCGGAAAAGGCATCCTTAGTGGGGTCATGGCATACCGCTCGCGGGGTCACCAAAGGTCGTCGCGTTCCATGTGGCGGCCGGGGGAGAGCCGGCGGTGTAATTGCGCGGCAGCTGTCCGGTCCGCTGCGCTGGGCAGCGGCAGCCGGCCAGCCGGCCGAGTAGCGTGCCCATCCCACCCAGCGCTTACCGCCCTGCAGCTTGGAGAGGGTAGTGTTCTTGCCCTGGGACATGACTGGCGGCGTGGGCTTGTGGCTCTGGCCGGTGGCGCGGTACATGGCCATGACCCACAGGTGGCACTCGTTTTCGTCCTCGCAGGCGTACAGGATGCCGTCGCCTTCGCGCACCGCGTTGAAGAAGAAGCGGCCGCCCTCCAGGTCTGCCGACCGGTCGCGATCAAGGTCAAGTCCGGTCGGGCAACGACGCCCTTCCGACGGACAGGCGCACACCGGGAAGGGGGCGACCAGACCGCTGTCGCCTGCTCCAGCCCACGGGTGCATGGCGGGAGGTGGAATGTTGTACGTCTTGCTGTACAGCGCTATCCAGAATGGCATGCATGGTTGAAATACGCGCATGTCCACTAAACTATCCTTCAATTATTATGTTCTTTACACACATTGGATAACACATCACACTTGCCGGACGATATAAGGCATGCGTTTTGTGAGCAAGGGATACTCTTAGCTCTTACCCATTCCAACCATCAGTTGAGCTGCAACAAGAGAACAGGGCTGGTCAAAATAGGTCTGTACGCTTGCTGCAACATTACCAAATGAATGCCTTTCATCTCAAGATATTTCGTTCGAAGCAAGTTCACAATGATTCATCAAAACCGGCATAAAACAGAGGATGCTGATATATTTTAAGGGTTGATATTTGTTATGCTTTTTGAGCAGACCTACAGGTGTTCGTGCAAATAGCGTGCGATGTCATGTGCCGCATCATGAGCAGCGCTATGGTCACGTGGACTGACGCCTCGTGACCCCCCTGCCCTCGGTGCCGGTCCCCAGCTGCATCACTGCCGGCGTCAGAGCTCCACAGTCACGTGTCTACACCAGCCACGTGCCGGAAGCCATAGGACCCGCGCTGACGCCTCGCAGAGGTGGCAGGTCGCTGGCGACACGTGACCTCCGACCCTCTCAGGCATATAAACTTAGTTTTAGGGGAGCGCAGACTCCTTCCCGAGAGTGTCGCGGCCTGCCCAGAGACGAGCCAGAAGCAAAATTCGATTTGGCGTCCATTAACTTCCACTGATGACTTCAGGGTAAGTTAATTATCGTAATGCTAATGAACTCTGTCTGTCGGTAGGGGTTCTCTCATCTGCCAATCGCGGCAAGCGATGGACATCGAACAGACCGAGACCGATTCCAGGTCAACTCAATCTGGGGCGAGGGGCACCCATAGAATTGTCTGATGCTTCGTTTAATATTGGTTTAACGCTATACATCGCATCGCTACATCGCACATCGCTAACGGACCCAACGCACAGGACATGAACTCGCGGAAGTGAGGATGCGAGCGAGATGTGCCGTTTCTCGACCGCCTTTGCCCCGTCCCCGCAATACTGGACGGTACAACACGACCGTCAGGTAATGACAGCTCCATGATCATGCCGGTGGCGAACGGCAACCTTGACGTCACTGGGAGGTCAGGGCGCGGACTATGACGTCATGGTGATCACCTACCGCTGGCCGGTTCCATGTAGTCAACGGTGTAGCCGTCCAGCTGCATCATCTCGGTCGGCTCCGACTTCTTCTCGCGGTACGTGCACATGGCAAACGTGTACTGTGACACCTGCACGAGCACGAAGTAGCGCCGCTTCCACTTCTTCCAGCACGTCTTCCCCAGACAGTACAGGTAGCTGTGCGGATGAGCAGAGCGTGGGTGACGGTCGAGCACTCCTTAGCGCACTGAAGGCGCTGTCGCCATCGCATGAGTGACAAGGTGCATTCCAACACGAGGATTCAAACGCAAAGATCGTTGTGCGAGACATTGTCATTCAGAATAAGAACGAGAGCGAAAACGAAAATGAGACCCTTGCCATTGAGAACAAGAACGAGACCCTTGCGTGCGGGAAGCTTGTGATTACCGTGCACCTCATTACTTATCACTTTGTTTTGTTCTTTAACACTTGATGGCGTAGCATTCTGTCACACGTTTACTCTCTTCGGACCAGCATCTAACATCAAGGCAAAGCGATGCCCGCGAGGGTGAAGTGGCGAGAGCGGGGTGTGAACAGCATAGGCTTGATGTTCGACTGGCGGCCGTAAGCCGGCAGTCGATGGTCGGGAGGGTTTTATAACTGGCATGCTGCTTAGAAACCGGATGACGGCGTCGACGTGATCATCACACCCCACGGCGCAGCGACCGAGATTACGAGCACCGTCAAGTGCTACAACTCGATTCAGCGCGGTGGAAAATCTCGTCCGCTGTTGCCCGCGGGCCACGCCCGGATAAACGTGTTTCAGATGTAAATTGCACGGAACAGCCTACGACAGCAGAATGTTCTGCATGAATCAGTTTTGGCGTCCAATTTGCCGAAACGTCATGCCGCCTTATCGTCGGGCGAACCGATCGAGCCATCACCTGGTATGATTGGATATCGGGGGACCGCAGTGTTCCGCCGACTCTGACGGTAAGCGCTGAACGGTCCCAGCGTCCCGGCGCCTGGTGGGGCTGTTCAGTCCCAGAGCGGAACGGGACCTCTGCGCGTTCTTATGTGCCGCGGAAAGGTTAGACCATCCAGTCAACGACGGGGCTGCAGGTGTTTTCCCAACACATTTTCAATACGGCTTCCGTTGAAAAGCACATCTCCGGGAAAGAGGGTGTATCTCTGTTGCTAGTGGTCAGCCGGTCTCGTGCTGAGCCTAGGTCAGACTCTGCACTGCTTAGCGTGCGATCGTCTGCGATTGCAACTAACGTAACATGTCACTGATGCGTTCAACACGGCAGTCTGCACACCTAGCCATCGCTCCGGCGGCAGGTCGTGAGGAAAATCGATGGCGTTTGATAGCGCCGATAAACCGATCAGGAGGCGGTGGAACTCGTGGCCGCGAGGCCGACCGCCGGCGCCGCCGACCATGGGCGCCACCGCCGCTTCCTGCTCAGCTGGCCGCAACCAGCTGCCCGCCGCGGGCAGCTGGTTAAAGGGCAGTCAGTGGGCACTGAGGCGTGCAAGGGACTGCCGCCCCCGCTAGGTTGGCTGACATTTAAAAAGGCAATTGTCTCGGAAATGGAGGCCGGTCGGTCCGGGCGGTGGGCGGTGCGGATGATGAGTGTGCAGGCCCAAATACCACCGGCCGTCGTGGGCCGCGCCTTCCTTGGAGATGTGATCGATAGTGCGAGCAAAGCTATCACGGCCAGCGATGATCTGCTGTCGGGCGATTGTTTGAGCCCCGTTTGAGAGGGAGCCGATTCATGGGATCTGACAGTTGGGCAGTTTATCTCCAGAAACGGCGCTACCTCTGAAAGGATGTCTGAAAGCACACCCAGCGGTGGCAGGGACTTCCGGAGGGAAATGAGACGGGTAACTAGAGAAAGGAGCTGTGGCCGGGAACTGAGGCGGACAACTGAGGTAACGAAGATTCAAGCAGAAAACTGAGGTAGGGACCTTAGGTAGATAACTGAAACAGGAAAAAAGAACCGTGAGCTGAGGCGGAGAACAAAGACAAAGAACTGAGGCAAGGAGAGAGCTGAGGCAGAGAAATGAGGTAGGGACCTTAGGCGGGGAACTGAAACAGGAAACAATAGATGGGAGCTGAGGCGCACAACTGATGCAGAGAGCTAAGGCAAGGAAAACTGGGGCGTAGTACTGAGGCAGAGAACTTAGGCGAGCAGCTGAAACGAGAAACAAGAATCTGGAGAGCTGAGGTGGAGAACTAAGGTAAAGAGAATTGAGGCGGAGAACTGAGGCAGATAGCTGAAGAAGGGCACAGAGATAAGAACCTGACGCAAGGAGCTGGGAAGGAAAACTGGGGTAAGAATCGAAGGAAAGGAACTGAAGCAGGAAACTGAGGTAAGAAACAGGGACCTGAAGTGTAGACCTGGTAAAAGTACTGAGACAGATAACTAAAAAGGAGGCTGAGGTGAGAGGCTGAAGCAGCGATTAAGACAAGGGAATGATGAAATGAGCTGAAGAAGGGAGCTATGAAAGGCACTGAGGTGATGAAATGGACGATGGACCTGAAGCAGGGTCTTTAGGTGGTGCAAATCAAGAGGGCTGGGAAAGGGGCGCTAAGAAGGGGATACGTGGATGTTGAACGGGATGGGACGACAAAAAGCGGATGTTGAGTGACATAAATGGCATAACGCGGTGACGGAACCGTCCGATGGAGAAGTACTCACCCGCCATGCTTCATGTTCAAGGGCTTGTCCATGCGGCAGGCGATCTTGATCTTGAGGTCTTGGTCCTGACCGTTCTTAGGTACGGTCATTTTGTGCCACTCTGGCATCTGGAACGCAGAGCACATCGTCGATGATGCCGGCCGCCGGACCAAGGGCAGATAGAGCCCTGATCGCCGGACCGAGGACAGACAGAGCTACAGCCGCCAGAACAAGGACAGACAGACCTACAGCCGCTGGACCAAGGGCAGGCAGACCTACAGCCGCCAGAACAAGGACAGACAGACCTACAGCAGCCGGACCAAGGGCAGGCAGCCTACAGCCACCGGACCAAGGGCAGGCAGACCTACAGCGGCCAGAACAAGGACAGACGAAGCCACAGCCGTCGGATTAAGGGTGTACGGAGCCACAGCCGTCGGACCAAGATCAAGCACGGAATCCCGCTGCTCGGATCATGGCCAGCCAAAGCCGGCTCTCTGAACCGCGCGGCACAGCAATAAACGAAACAGGCGACGCGTCGCGCGAAAACGAGCTCACGGCGCCTATTTCATCAGGATGGTGTTCGTGCCAGTCATATGGTAACACATGTGAGGACTGATCATGCTGAGGACTGAGGTACAGAGCATGACTGGACTTTCCTGTACGTCGGTTCATGGTCCTGTGCCACTATCGACCGCCTCCGTATGGAAGAGTAGTGTCATGGGAGGCGCGCTGTACCAAATCACTGCCAGCACCGCTAACAGCTAGCGGAGGTTTCTTAGTCGTTATTGAATGCAGTCCATAATCATCACGATACGCAGATCAGCATAACCCTCAGTGCTTTAGAAAAAAAAATATGGGGTGCGATGCTACATTCCGTTACATTTCCACCGATAATCTCTAACGAACACAGGGAGTGGCAGGCCTTAAACGGCCGCAGGTACGCTTTTGACATGCAAGACGTCAATGGCTCTTAAGACCACCTTGGCGCTGCCTAATTATTAGTAATTTGTAAGCCTTTTAATCACTCTGATAGCCTTGTTATTTTATTTCCGCATGACAAATTATAGGTCGCTGGAGAGATATTTCAAGGCTGCTTTTTACCAAAAGGTCAGATATAACGTATATTGCCATCACACACACAAAGCGAAAATAAGAAGCATCCACAAAAAAGAACGCACATAAAAAACGAAACCCAGGCCACGAAACGGAACAGAGGAAAAGAAACATGAAAAGGAACGGCACGGAAGAGCGATTTTTACAGAGCTGCAGGCGATTACATGGCTAGTCATCCATGTGCAAGGCTATACTGCAAATTTTGTCCCAGCACGTGATCTCATAGAAACGATTGATGGTGACCTTGCGCAGAACGTACGCGAGCGCTCATCCTAAGAATCCAAGGTGCGCTGCGCCATATTTCCTCTCTTGCTGCCCCAACTTGCCCAATTTTGCCTTCGAGCGGTGTCGCAAAGGAAACGTTGTTGAGAAAGGGACTCTTTTCACTGTTGCTAAAGGCTTGGTGCAGTGCAGAATATGTTCAATGTTGTCGTGGCGGCGTTCCTTCACCATGGTTTTGAAAACCGTGTTGTGGCAGCTTCTTGGTTATTGTAGATGGGCTCGGAAAATAACAACCACATACGTGGTCGAGAACACGTAAAGGCCGTCTCTCCAGCTGACCGGTCTACGGTCGCTACACTCCATTGATGCGTGTGGTTCGCTCCTTTGTTACAGAAATAAGAATGGTTGAAAACCCAGACCTGATATGAATGGTGGGCAGCATGATGCCATCGTTGACAGGTGTCTGAACGCAGCGTGGATTGTTCGCGGGAAATAAACTCGTTGGAACCGAGCCAAACATTACGAATTATGTGTTGCGTGCATCATATTTTATCACACTTGTATCATGCGGCATGATCCAAAAGTTATAAAGCTCAGCACTATATGCTCATTTACAGCTTATGTTCCAAAAGGACCAAGATTGCATGCTGCCACCTTCTGAAGGCTAATAAAAGCATCACGAAACGTTATGCCCCGGGCTTCATTTGTCTTGCAATATAAGTGTCATTTAACTTACCATAGCATTCAACAACACGTCAACATTTTCTTTTAATATAAAAGTCCTGATCCTTTTTATTGGCACTATTTCTACCTTTATGACCAGATTGAGAGCATTGTTAACTCTATTTTCAGCATGATGTTCACATTTTTAACAAAATATATCTTCAAGTTGTCCATTTTGGATTTACATATAAAATTAACATGGCCAGTTACACCCAAAATGCATCCGGTTATGAAAAATATTTTCGAATTCGGCTTTAAGCAAAACTTGGAACAATATTTTCGTGGCTTCAGAGTACGTCTACTACATCGGTTATTTGAGTAAGCGTGAGATTTAATTGCTGGTGCTTGCGTTTCGAGAATTCGACTTCGTGTCGTTCTTCGCGCTGCAATCATGCTCGTGACGGAAAATCATCGGTTACTGGAACCGTGAAAATCGAGTTTCATTCAGTACGTGACGTGTGCATTCTTGCATGCATACCTCTAAATTGTGTTTTTTCTAGTGATGAGCGTCTTTTCGCCTTTCATGATGTTGTTATCCATCATGTCTGCCAGTATTGCGCTCGTAAAATACCTCGTAGTTGGTGAAAATCCATCGTTGGAATTATTACGGAATGTATTGCTACATTTCATGTTTCTATTTATCGCAATAAGGGCTCGACTACTTCGGCGGGCTCCGGCAATCTTCAGCCTTGGTAGGCGGAGCCCTGCCGTGCCACGCGCCACGGGCTGCTGCAGCAGCACTAACGAGCAGGCAATGCCTTCCTTTGTTAATGATGAGGTGTCCAGGCCAATCAACATAAGTAACAGCAAACAGTCCCGAATTGGTGGTCTGGTCGTTCGTAGCTTCCGAGCCACGGCCAGGTTCGCACGACAGCCATTACTTCAGGCCTGGTTGGCTCGAAGAGAGACCGGTTCGCCTCACGCGCGCCTTTTAGTCACGCGCTCGGGCTTTACCAGGTCGGCATGGCGCGCTGCCGAACCCATGGATTGCAGAGGGTGATGGGAAAAGTTATTTGTGTACTACGCGCGGAGCAAAGTACCAGCGCTTCCTATCTGACATTGCGTCATTCGGTGGTTTAATGGGATATTCAATGGTTAAGCTTCAGCTTACCTCGCTCTCAACGTTTTGCGACGCACACAACTTTCTACGAAGCGCGGGCCACTTGCGATTGCGTACATGAGGGAATCAGACTAGAGAAGAGACGAGAGGGCAAATTTCCGCACTGAAGTCGCTCGCGGCCTGGATCTGGGTGGAACGCCCTTGCTAGTTGTTACAGTCATTGGAAACTCCCGCTTGAAATGAGGCTACTCGATTAGTCAACTCTGAGTCAAGGGCGCCACCCGCATTGTGAATGAGCTATAAGTAGGTTCTAAGAGCTGAATGTCGCCACCTGGTCAGCTTAACTTGGAGTCGGTGGCAGGCGACGTCGTCGCTTGGTCAGCTTAGCTCGGAGTCGGTGGCGGGCGATGATGGCAAAGCTGCGCTCAAAAATCAAGATGTTCCGCGCGTCTCAAGGGCATGCTACGTGAAACATCGGCGTCGAGGTAGTATACCGATCAACGCGGAACGTCCCCGAGGTGATGCGTCCTGGACAGTGTGTGTTCACGGTGCACTACAAGGTTATTACCAGGTATCCGAATGCACCCAGCCGATAGATACTAGACAGCGTATACACTACTGGGTGTCATGTCGCCGTCAGCAGCACGTCACCCCCAGCACTTCTGCAGCCGACAGACTGCCGCGGCAGTACCTTGGAGGTGAAGGGCGTGGGATGGAGCACCACCTTGCCCAGCTCCTTGTCGTCGAGGGAGAGCATGCCGGCCGCCTCTGTGTACAGCTTGACCTTGACGGCCGGCAGCGGGTGGGTGGTGGTGAAGTCGCCTTGGGTGTCCCACCTGGTGGCAGCGGAGGGTGCGGGGCAGGTCAGCACTGGTACCGCCACCGGAAGCACAGCTTCCCCCCCCCCCACTTTTTCCCTGCTATATCGCTGGTTGATGGAGTGACTGGTGCGACGACTGTTGTGGCAAAACATTGGCAAGAGGCTGCGAAAAATAATTGGTCTGGTATGCGTATGGTGAAAGTGAGCAATCACCATCGTAATTAGGCTCCAGTAAGGGCACTCGCACCGTACGACGTTACGACACAACTGAGGGTGCGGGAAGAAGGCTCTTCACCAGCTACATACTCAAGTCATGCCAGGGCAGCCCGACATCACCATCCTCCATCCAGTTGACAAAACCCGGTTGGTCTCAAAGCTGATAAAGTCGCCCCAGTTCCTGTGGCGGAGGCCAGCTGTGCCCCATGACGTAACCGAACCGCTCCTGTCTCCGCACCGGCCACTGACATGGGTTTGGAGGCCTCGGCCTGGTCCGTCTGCAGCTTTTCGCCTCCCTCCACCTCCATCGTGCAGTAGACAATCTTGCTGGGCGCCAGCGACTTGAGGCCTCGTACTTCCATGACCACCACCTGTCGGTGGGCGCGGGACGGGCCTCCAGCGTCAGCTGCCGTGCCTCGTCGCCACGCATCACGTATTTAAGGACTGGCGTGTCGACTTAAGGCCTTGCAATATGCAGCAGCTGTTAACTACTGTCATCACACGCCAATGCCAGTTCATATCACGGCCACAACCGAATAGCGAACTGAGGCGTCTTATGGCTGTACGTGCCATATCTGTGAAAGTCATATCACAGCGACATATATGTATTTCATTTTCCCACGCTGCTGCAAATATGTGTTGCTAATACTCTGGCATTATAAAAGGAAGCAAGGCGTCGTAACAAGAAATATGGCTATCATTTTTTAGTAACCCCAACATTTTTGGGAATGACGTGCAAAAACAAAATACACGCAGTTAGCAATAACGCTCAGAAAAATACTACGAGCGATGTTATAGAACGCCAGTCGGCGATGGTCAATGGTTGTGGTATTTCAAAGGTGATGGCCGATGGATGCGGTATCTCAGAGAGGTGATGGCTGATGAATGTGGTATCTCGAGAGGTGATGGCCGATGAATGTGGTATCTCGAGAGGTGATGGCCGATGAATGTGGTATCTCAGAGAGGTGATGGCTGATGAATGTGGTATCTCGAGAGGTGATGGCCGATGAATGTGGTATCTCAGAGAGGTGATGGCCGATGGGTGTGGTATCTCAGAGAGGTGATGGCCGATGGATGTGGTATCTCAGAGAGGTGATGGCTGATGAATGTGGTATCTCGAGTGGTGATGGCCGATGAATGTGGTATCTCGAGAGGTGATGGCCGATGAATGTGGTATCTCAGAGAGGTGATGACCGATGGATGTGGTATCTCAGAGAGGTGATGGCCGATGGATGTGGTATCTCAGAGAGGTGATGGCCGATGAATGTGGTATCTCAGAGAGGTGATGGCCGATGGATGTGGTATCTCACAGAGGTGATGGCCGATGGATGTGGTATCTCAGAGAGGTGATGGCCGATGAATGTGGTATCTCAGAGAGCTGATGGCCGATGGATGTGGTATCTCACAGAGGTGATGGCCGATGGATGTGGCATCTCAGAGAGGTGATGGCCGATGGATGTGGTATCTCAGAGAGGTGATGGCCGATGAATGTGGTATCTCAAAGAGGTGATGGCCGATGGATGTGATATCTCAGAGGTAATGACCGATGGATGTGGTATCTCAGAGAGGTGATGGCCGATGGATGTGGTATCTCAGAGAGGTGATGGCCGATGGATGTGGTACCTCAGAGAGGTGATGGCTGATGGATGTGGTATCTCAGAGAGGTGGTGGCCGATGAATGTGGTATCTCAGAGAGGTGATGGCCGATGGATGTGATATCTCAGAGGTAATGACCGATGGATGTGGTATCTCAGAGGTGATGGTCGGTGGATGCGGCATCTCAGAGAGGTGATGACCGATGGATGTGGTATCTCAGAGAGGTGATGGCCGATGGATGTGGCATCTCAGAGAGGTGATGACCGATGGATGTGGTATCTCAGAGAGGTGATGGCCGATGGATGTGGTATCTCAGAGAGGTGATGGCCGATGGATGTGGTACCTCAGAGAGGTGATAGCCGATGGATGTGGTACCTCAGAGAGGTGATGGCTGATGGATGTGGTATCTCAGAGAAGTGATGGCCGATGAATGTGGTATCTCAGAGAGGTGATGGCCGATGGATGTGATATCTCAGAGGTAATGACCGATGGATGTGGTGTCTCAGAGAGGTGATGACCGATGGATGTGGTATCTCAGAGGTGATGGTCGGTGGATGCGGCATCTCAAACTAGTCACAAAAGCCGAGACATGAAAATGAGCGGCGAGAGGCGTCGAGATTTCAAGGGTCAGCAACGCAATTTAAGCGCACCACCGACGAGAAGCTGACCAGCCGAACGTACTCGAGCAATGGGGAGGGGGGTCAGAATGTTCTCCGACGGAAGGAGCAGCCTGGCACTCCCCCCAGTGGCCACCTACCTCGAGCGAGAACGACAGCACCACGTCCATCTTGGAGAGCGTTGTGTCGGCGTCCAGACTGTCACCTTCAGCCCTAGAAATGGAAGCCTGTGACCTGCCGAGTCAGGCCAACCGGAGGTCATTACTCAGGCCACGGAGGTGAAACGTCAGAATTGCCCTCTGGTGATGACCTCAGGTCAGCACATGCACATGACTCCGCTCAGCTGCTCAGCCTTGGGTGCTGGCCACTACACGGTCGTCGCAGCGGCCTGACCGCCAGCATAACAGGACTAGCTGACAGCCGCGTGTCTGTTTCACCGAAGCTGCTCAAGCTACAGAACTTCGCGTCAGGCCACTAAGCGACTGCCCTGTCCGTATGCTCAGAGGAATCCCCGAGGCTAGTTAATTATAAATGATGGCAGCACGCGGCTATTCCAAACGTCCTGAGCTATAAAACTTTGATACAAGCACACTATGAAATTCTTGTTGACCGTTCATCGGCATGCAGCCATACGATGCACAAACAAAACACCACCGATCACCTCCATGTAAGAAAACGTATTCTATGTGGGCGGTGGGGCATAAGCCAAAAGCTTTCAACAAACAGTTGCCACGTTGTCGTGCATTCGAGGCTACCAGCGGACGGGCAGTACGTGTGGCCTTGCTTGTCGCATTTGGCCAGTCATTCACCTATAGCGTCTCATGCGTCGACGCGCGATGGGTTCAGACTTCAGAGTGCGGATCATGGGATGCATGTTACATAGCCTTTTCAGAGAACACCAACATCGGCACGCTCTTTGAAGTCAGCCTATCGCATCTCATTCCATTTAGCCGGGCGCCTCCGAAGCATGCAGCATAACATATTTCGTCTCTTTGGAACATCAAGACCGACAGTCGCCGCCCTATCGACAACGCGCAGTGCACAGCCAGCGCAGCCCTTCCCCTCTTCGCTAGGTTGACGTCTACACAGCGACAAGCGGCCAGCAAGACCAGCTGCATGCTGCGGTCCTCCAACTCCCCTCCCCCCCGCTACCGACGTGCACGCCGTCGCCCTCCGGCAGGCGCACGGCGACGCGCGTTGCCGTAGCGCATGCAGCATGCAGCGCGCCAGCCGACCGACGGCCGGTCGGCCTGTCGGGCCGGGGTACACGCCGGCCCGGCCGCCGCCTCCGGCTACCCGCGATCAATGGATGGACGGCCATCGACGCGGCGGGTCGGCTAGTGACGGCCGCCGACGCCGATAAGGCCAGCGCCGACACGCGGCGAGCGTGGCGCTCGCCGACGCGGCGCGCTGCGACACCGGCGGCAGGCGGGCGTGCGGGGCCTGGCGCCCAGCGCGGCAGGCGCGCGTGCGGGGACTGGCGACCGGCGTGGCAGGCACGCGTGCGGGGACTGGCGCCCATCGCGCCAGCCGCGCGTGCGGCGACTGGCGCCCGGCGTGGCAGGCACGCGTGCGGGGACTGGCGCCCAGTGACAGGGCGGCGTGGGTGGCGAGTGCGACGCGTGCGGGACTAGCGCGGTGACGGGCGGCGCCGGGGACCCGCTCTGAGCGGGCGGCGCGATCGACGGGACAGAGCAACGCGTCTACGGCGCCCGGTCGCCCGGGAATACCTGCCTTAGCACAGAGCTACGTCGCCGGCTGGGGACACAGACACGGAGTCAGTGTGGCGCTCGGAGGCTGTCTCAGGGGGCGGGACGCACGCGGTGGCTGCGCGCCCCACCAGCATTCGCATCACTAGCAATGTCCCGTGTGTCGAACCATATCAGCCCCCATCCAGAACGACGCCATGTGCCTGGGATGCATCTCGAATGATCATTCAAGCTAAAACGACGTCGCTATGATGTTTTTACCACAGCGTAATGGAATTGAAAGGATATTTATCCCTGAGTTGGTCAAATCTGAGACATATGCGTGATGAAAAATATCGCCTAAGGTTTCCACACACGTCATGCCAGATGTTGAAAACCGGTTATAAGCAAATCAATGTCATTTAAGGGCACCGCGAATGTTCTTTTCAAAAGTTCGTGACAACCGTTTGGGATGTTCTGCCAGCCATCGCCTAATCCATGTTTTGAAGCCTGAGTTAAGAGAGCTTTTCGCGGCAATACTGGGTGACGGAGACCGGAGCTTAAAGTAAATGGACGAATGTATCAGAATCTTTTACTCCCACATCAGTAATCGCAGAGCGCGACCGTCGTTGCCAAAAATGAGACTCATGACGCATGTTCAGTGTTTATCAGCGGAAGCTTCGAGAAAGGACGGTGGTAACGGCAAAAAATAATGTTCAACCGCTTTGCCTGCAATGGCCGGGACTCCGGCGATGTTTTGCAAGTGGCGTTCGCCATGACAATGTGATTGCACATTGCATCGAATGTGGAAAGAATGGACAAACCGTTGCGCCCTTATTCCGGCTTAATGCCGCTGTTTTTTACCAGACGAGGTCATGGGTCACAAACTCTGGCCGGCAGCATCGGCGGCCTTTTGGTGCAGCGCAGGGCAACTCGTTAATTTTGGCTGAGGCAATTTACGGCTTTGGAAGCCGAGTAACTTTTTGTGACAGCAAAACAACAATGACAGATATGCATTATCGGTAGCCATATTGGAGAAATCTGAGAACAAATTCTGGGTTTAGAAGAATGCTATACTAAGCGACAAGAAATAAATGTTTACTGAGAGCATTCTTTGCAACTTGGTAGCTGGAAAGCGTGCAGAATGCATCTAATGATTAAATGAGATGCAGGCATCACTGTTGCCTGCTTAAAATTCAGCTCGCAGGGTAAAGGCGTAGTGACGCGGCCGGGGGCCAAAGGTTATCCGCGGGTCATCAGTTCAGGCTCAGGTCACGTGCTATCGGACCCTTCTTTTTGCGTGCCAGGTGGTTGTTATAGGCCTCACTGCCTCCTCCCCAAAACGGCGTTCGTCTCGGCCCTTGTCATCCACCTGTTTGTTTTGTGTTACGCTCGCTTCATTATCAGGTAGGCTGTGCAGAAGTCTTTTTGGCGTTCAAGACGCCGTTTGACGTGGCAACCTTCGCACTCCTGCGCGACAGCTGACGGGCGGGGTATGAGCTCAAGTCAGTAAGATCCAACGATCGAGGCAGCGTCTGATGGATGCCGCGACCGTGCAAATATGCCTTAATTGTGGCGACGGATGCGAGATGGCTTTCGCTGTAGACGCGAGGTGCCAACGGACAAGAGCGACTAAGTAAGTCATTGTGTCTGGCTTGCGACCACACAGACTCAAAACAAGACCAGCTAAGTGACCAAGTTCAACTCTTAAGCATGAAAGAGGTAGTGTGGACATAACCTGAAATACGAATAGCTAGTTCATGCATACCTCCTGTATGCCTCTTACAGCTCTTAATTGCTCTACACACGTTCAGTTGTTCGGCACATAGTTATATGCACATGTTTCACAGCAGAACTTCCACGCCCAAACCCGTACCAGCAAACACAGTTTCCACAGGCCCGATGCACTCTACCTCGTCCAGCACGGCACGGTTCCACCCCGTCCACGCGCCTACCCCGGCATGCAGCCGGTGCGGCTGCGGGCCGTGCGCCCGTGTGCGGCCGCCCAGCCGCCTGTCCCCGTGTGCGGCCGACCAGCCGCCTGTCCCCGTGTGCGGCCGCCCGTCAGCCGGCGTCACCCCCTCGCCCGTTGGCCCAACACAGCATGCTGCAGAGAGAAAGAGAGAGAGAGAGGGAGAGAGAGGGGGGGAACAGAGATGGAGAGAGATAGATAGATAGAGAGATAGAGAAAGAACGTGGCGCCGCCATGCAGCCCCGGCCCGGATAGATAACTACGTGGAGCCGCACAGCAGTCGCCAGCAGGGGCACAGTCGCTGGAAAAGAGGCAGCAGCCAGTGGAGGCCCGCGTGGCGCGGCCCGCAGCACTGCAGCAGGCAGGCGAACACGCCGCGACGCACGTGGCGAGTGGCCTTCCTCCGCGCCGTGCACACTCTGTGGACCAGCGGCGCGGCGGCGGCTCAGTGGCCGCTCCGAGTCGGCGCCTCTCTGAGGCACTGCTGAGCGGCGGCTCAGCGGCGGCTCAGCGGCCGCTCCGAGTTGGCACCTCTCTGAGGCACTGCGGGGCGGCGGCTCAGCGGCCGCTCTGAGTCGGCACCTCTCTGAGGCACTGCTGAGCGGCGGCTCAGCGGCGGCTCAGCGGCCGCTCTGAGTCGGCACCTCTCTGAGGCACTGCGGGGCGGCGGCTCAGCAGCCCCTCGGAGTCGGGGTCGCTCTGAGTCGGGACGTCTCTGAGACACTGCGGGGCGGCGGTTCAGCGGCGGCTCAGTAGCCACTCTGAGTCGGGACGTCTCTGAGACACTGCGGGGCGGCGGTTCAGCGGCGGCTCAGTAGCCACTCTGAGTCGGGACGTCTCTGAGGCACTGCGGGGCGGCGGTTCAGCGGCGGCTCAGCGGCCGCTCTGAGTCGGGACGTCTCTGAGGCACTGCGGGGCGGCGGTTCAGCGGCGGCTCAGCGGCCGCTCTGAGTCGGGACCGGTCTGAGACACTGCGGGACGTCGGCTCAGCAGCCGTTCTGATTCGGGACCGTTCTGAGACACTGCGGGAGCCGGCGGCGCGGTGGCGGTTCGGCGGCCACTCACAGTCGGGGTACTCGGGAGTCGGGATCCGACTGAGAGGCTATGGAAACAATCTTTTTTCCTATTAATATTCCTAGAACATTACATTGTGCACGTCACATTCCCCAATGGTGTGCTTTGAGTCAAAAGTTAGTCGACCAGCTGATCCCAGGACACGTCAGGATAACGCTGTTAGCGCAATCGCAGGTACGGACGTTGAAGCGATATGCCTGGCATACTAAAACTTGTGATGGTTTTCTCGTCGCGGCAGTGACTTTATATATTTTACATGAGGTCAGGATAGGTTAATCCAGGTCACCAAGCTCTCACATTAGGTCATGGTGCGTCAGAAATGCTGTCCTCTTGATACATGATGCAGCAGTGGATTTTTATGAAGAGCGCTTCATGCATCCCTGAAGGCTGTATCTATCGCGTGCAAAACACGAAAGATACGTCATCGAGAGATCAGGAGTTTTAAGCCATCCTGAGTCGATTTTGCCTGCGCTCACCTGTGCAGCAAATAAGGAATTTTGGAAGGTTGGTATTTTGTATGCTACTTTGACACGCACTCACCTTGCATGCCGATCAAAGACTCGATAACACGCTTGATCAAGATTTTGACATAATTGTAGTGGGAAGGCACTTCATTCGGTACCTTTTTCCCGAGGTATTGTTTGCCACTTTGTTATATTCGTTGGACCAGCATTCTAACGTCTGCCTGGAAGGGCTACGTAATTTGGTTCAATGTCATATTTTGCAATAGACTACTGGTAGGCCTGAAAACTTGTTCATAAAACAACAGACAGAATTTGCGGTTTCTCAGATAAAACCGTCCCAGTGGCCCGCTCATCACGTTAACCGGGAGAGGGGGGGGGGGGGGAGGATTACGCGGAAGTGATACGAGAAAGATGGAGCTGTACCGAATTTGATGAAACCAAACACTTGACCTTATGGTGCTGATTAATATGCGAATTAATAACAGACTCAGCTCCTCAAACACCAGAAGCGTTCCAGTTAAACAAATGCCCACTTAAAAAGTTAATACCTGCAACAATTATTTATGGCAGGCACGTGCAGCATTTGCATGGCAGGCGCGGGCATTTTTCGTTCTTGCTTTTAATACTTCCCTTGCTCAAGTGATTATTTCCCTTTGCTCCACCGTACAATACATCGCCCAAAGTATTGGCTTTCATATCGGAATGCTCCACCTCACGCGACTATTTCCTATTTACCATATGCATTTCCATTACACTTAATTGCATATTTGTCACGGGAGGTCGGTATTTTCAGATTTCTTTTAACTTCAACGTTACATGGCCTTCAAATGATTACAATATACAGGACATTTCCGAAATTCTGCGCTAAATGAGGTAAGACACCGTTTTCATGCATGCTTCGATCTGTTCTGAGAAAAATATGGAAAGCTTTTGTGTTCGTCCAACGTCTTTTGGGCATGCTCGTGCAATGACTGACGCATTTACCTCTTATGTCTTCGTATATGTGCGTACTGTCGTGTACGTGTACCATGCACGGCGTACTGCTTATGTGTACGTGGGCACCACATCACACGTGTGTTGGAAACAATACAGCATATTGCATGAATCCTGTATCCGTCTGCTTACACGATAAACAAACATCGACGCAAACCCAATAGCTGGGCCTTTACCTTCAGACCGTTACAAACAAAATCAAAATAGTGAAGCTTTATTTCCTTTCGTTGTTTATAAAAAGGAAACCCGTGTCGTTGCATTTAAGAAAGCTTCAGCAAGCCATGCTGTCTGCATAGTTAAAGCGCATTTTTCAGAAGCGTCGGCCCACAATCTAGTTAAAGCGAACTCTATTCCATGAACGTGACTTTGCGTCGGACTACGACATTTTCGCTTTGCAACAAACTCTTGGAACGCCTCGAGGTCGGACGTTCTCCGAACCTATCTCATTCAGCCGAGGAGCCGTGAAGAAGCCGAGCTTGGCGTCACTAAAACTGGGTTTGCGAGGGCGCGCAAGTCGAGTTGGTAATGAAGTAAGGAATTTCGCCGGGCAAAAACGTTTGTGACGTG